GAGCGTCAAAGTCGGAAGAGTACCAGAAGTAGTCAAGTACATAGCCAGACTTGTTCTAGTACACATGAGTGCATAACAAGGAAAAATTGCTAGGCTTCTTTTTACCTCTCTCGCTAACTCATCTTCGCGCAGTCGTCATATTTTTCGAAAGCAATGACCTCTCCCCCGAAAGGAAGAACGGTGCTACGGAAACTTAATGATCGGTCCCATATTTTGTTACTCTTTTTGACTGCATACGAACTTGACCCAGACGGAATCACCCAGCGTTACCTACTGCCGTTATTGTTGTGAACAGTTCAAGATGGCAATCATGATGAGTCACTTAGTACATGAACAGAACTGATGAAAAGTTCTACTTTGGATTTCAAACCGGGATTGTTCAGTCGGTGCAGGCGTCGGACTCAGAAGCGAGAGTTCCCGCGTTGGAGCCCTCGTCGGGTCACTCGCCTTTCTGCCTTGTGAGGTTGCTAAATGAGTGCCACCTAGTGGAGGAATCAAGAGACTGCTGGCTATGCTTGGACACGTGACTGTAGATTCTGCCTTAAACAAGGCTCTCCTGGCTGATGGCATGGAAACGAAGATCAACGCCGTACCATAAGCTTTATGAAACGAATCACGTCCTTGTAAGTGTAAAGGAGACCGACATCCCATCAATTACCAGCTGTCTTATCCTGTTTACTTTACAGCACGAATTATCTATCATCCAGCAATGATTCATTAGCAGGAAATAGACGTTTTTGCATATTTTCTTGATTTATGGTTAGGAAACGAAAACGAGATAGAATGGTAAAGATGTTATTTAAAATCGGTGAATTTCGTTACCATTACCTGTGACATCTTCAGGATTGGTAAACTGTGAATATGTTAACCGGTATCGATCACGTCGACTGTAAGTGAACGTTATGCCATGTTTCCTTGTTTGGGACTCCTGAAGATAAATTATGAATGTATGTGACTGATCAGCTATGGGCCCAGAATCGAGATTTTCCTTTAAGAAATATGAAATTGGCTTAAAGGAATTTTTCAATTTGCTTTATCTGTCATAACTGTTATGCTTGAAATTATCAGCCATTTTAAGGGCTGCTGTTTTTTGGTTTGTTCTTATGTAGCAGCTGTTGAGTAATTATTGACTAGCGCATATACTTTGAAGTTGTGAACCAGCATCTTTATCCGCTTCAGTAATCTCTCCACTTCTCATTACAGATCAGTAATATAATTTCAGGGTGGAGAGTTGACATCAGCATGCATTCTGCCTACGGTCATTGTTCTTTTGTGATTAGCGGCTCCAGTCAGACTTCACAAAGGTTCATCGATTTTTGCACTAAGAATTCAGACCTGTTGAAACTCACAGTCAGCAAATGTAAACTGCGTATCGCCTGTCTAATGGTCATACGTCGTACTGATACATCTAGGGGATTTTAATGCTCTAAGATTTTGCCATCCTCAGATGATCAACAGTGTTCAGCGACGGTGTGCGAATGGTGCTTCCTAAGTCATCGCCCTCTGGTTTTCCCTCATGAAGCAGATTTGCTTCAAGGGGTTGCAGAGTTCTATCATCGCCTGGCACCATCGCGTGATTTATGGCAGATCTGTTGGGGGAATATTGTCGGTTGTCATATTTCCTAATCGTACCTAGCGTTGGTCTGTTGATCCGTACTTAGGCAGTTATCGTGATCTGCGACCGACGGCACTAGGAAGGATTTATTGAGAGCTTACTGAATATTAGCGGCAGTGGACTGACGTAGTTACCCTGGATGATCGGAAAATCAGCGATGCATAAAGCCTCTTTTGAAAATTCGATTTCGTTCCAGTTGGAGACGTGCGATATCAGATGCTCGGCCTGTTGACTTCACTCATCGCCGTAAATGCCACTAGGGTTAGTCATTCCTTTCCCTCAGGAACGGCTCAAAGTCGGTAAAGTTCGGCGTCGTTCGCCGGTACCGAGTTCGTCGCTTCTAGCTTATACAGTCGAAAAGACAATGTTCTCGTTTAAGACTCAGAAGCACGGCTTCTCTTAGCGTGTCACTGTAATGCGCCTGACGTTTCTCTCGAGTAAGGTCATATGAATAGAGGTGAATTTCATGAGCACCGTAATAAATCGTTTTACAGTGATGACTCACTTCTAGCCGTGCTATCGGTTTGCGTTATTGTCGATGAAAAATTGGCCGACGTTTTCATTGAAGCGCGTCGAAGCAGGTTAAGCTGCTAAGCATATTAAGCTTTGACACGTGATTATCGTGTTATTGAATGCATAACGACTAAAGTTCATGCCGATCCACTGCCGTATACTTCGGTAGGGTCTTCTCCTCTGGAAACAGCTTCGAAATGATCCGCCGGCAGCGCTTCACGGGAAGTTTCTATGCTTTGCCCATCCGAGCTTCTTTCAGCTTTCGATCGACTGGTCCGTAGTCGCTATCATCGGCATATCTTCATCTCTCTTTCTCGAGCTCCTTGCTTTCCAGCCGAGCATCACCACGAATAGAAGCTGAGTATCAGATAAGCGTGAAACAGGGGTCGCCTTGTGGCCTGTTTAAATCACGACCATTCTTTTTCTTTTCGTAATTACTGGTTCTGTACACAGGCTGTGCCAGTACAATGGAAAATTTTTCGCAATTCATCGACGCGTATCAACCCTGCACAGCGATGCCAGCCATCATTATGACAGAGCACGCCATATTCATGATGACGCAGGTGGTTTGTACTGAAACACCGGTGCATAAAATCTTACCTTGAACTAATGGACAACTTTTGTCTTTTCTTGGGCGTGAGTTCGAAGCCGATCTCTTCGAACATCACTCTTCTACCGCCATCGCCTCCCTCCCCCTCACCCCAGCCTTGGTGCGCCGTTTGTTAATGAATGGTTAATTTTAGAACGTATGTCTGCTGGTGATTGCGTTATGGTTTACTGCAGCAATGTAAGCGACTGTGTGTGACGTTTCGTGTTTCCATTTCGCAACGACGTTTGTCGGGGAATGGTTAAATTGTTAGTAAGGCTGACTCGTGTGCATGCTGAACACTGTCAACAGCAACATGAAATTTGAACGATCTGACAAGTTGCCTGTCTCCACCAATGCAGTGATGTTACTTTCAAATTATGAACTGACATCCTCACCTTCATGTGAGAAATGAAAGACTATTTAAATGAATTAGTCACAATATAATGCTACATTATCCATTGTGACTAAAGCAGAGCTCAGTCTGAAAACTAAGCTCTCGATATTCAAGTCGATGTTTATCCCCATACTTACCTACGGTCATGAATCGTGGACCATCATTGAAAAACTTCGAACCCGGGTACAAG